GCGAGGATTGGCAAAGCTAGAGCGGCATTCCTTCAACTGAAGTACATATGGAACTCAAAACAACTTTCAACCAATATCAAAGTCACAATCTTCAATACGAACGTCAAGGCAGTTCTACTGTACGGAGCTGAAACTTGGAGAACTACAACAACCATCATCAAGAAGGTACAGGTATTTATCAATAGCTGTCTACGCATGATACTCAACATCCATTGGCCGGATACCATCAGCAACAGCCTTTTGTGGGAGAGAACCAACCAGCTTCCAGCTGAAGAGGAAATTAGGAAAAGACGATTGAAATGGATAGGACATACATTGAGGAAATCATCAAACTGCATTACGAGACAAGCGCTAACTTGGAATCCTGAAGGGAAGCGGAAAAGAGGAAGGCCAAAGAACACATTACGTCGGGAAATAGAAGCAGATATGAAAAAGATGAATAAGAACTGGAAAGAGCTTGAAAGGATTGCCCAGGACAGGGTTGGATGGAGAATGCTGGTGAGCGGCCTATGCTCCTTCACGAGGAGTAACAGGCGTAAGTAAGTAAGTAAGTAAGTGACACCGGTAAAAGTATACTATCCTGGCAAAACAATCAGATTCAAGATAACAAGTCCTCGCACAACATTTAAAACACAAAGGGCGATAGATTTCTTTGTATTAAGAGTTAAGTAGAAATTACCCATATCTATTTCTTAAGATCATTAAAACTGATAAGCACTTCTGTCATGCAACCATATAGTGAATGTGATATTTTATGTAATGCAAATTACAAGAAACACCTAGTCATGTTGCGGACAGTCTGAGAAAGTTAATTACCCAATGAGCGTGCATGATATGATTCAGAGAAGTATCAAATGTATCAAAGTGTTCTTTACACTAAAATAAAGTCCAAACTTCTCTGACTACTAGTTCTTTACGGTAACCATTTTTTTTTACTATTATAAGTATATATATATATATATATATATATATATATATATATATATATATATATATATATACTCCACCTTTTTTTCTTTAATTTAATCTATCTAGCTATCTGTTTAAGTGGTGACGAAATTGGAGCTGGAGAAAGTGGCTATATAATAGATGTCGATAATAATGACCAATCCTTATTGGAATTGTTCAGTAAACAACCATATCGTCTTATTCTATTGATTGGCTGTATTATATTTATTATACTGTTAATTATATTCATCGTAGCTCATTTTATAACAGCACGCCGGCGTGGTCATCGTGGAAGCAATCAAATGTGTTCTTGTTGTTGTAAACAACATTATCATGAATCGAACAAACGAACAAAAGAAATTGTAACATCCGTCACTAAGAAGCGTAAAGCTCGACAAATGGCTTCTTTAACTAATCATCACAATTATTATCATGATCAATACTTTAATAGTCCAACAATATTGGAAAGAAATAAAATAGATAATGAAAGCGAAGATGAGGACGATGATGATAATCCACAAGCAGAACAAATTTCACTAAAGTGTAAACGTATTAAAGACAATAATATAAATATAGGATATATTGATAAAAAGATTAATGATATTGAACTAACTGATGATTGTATTACTACTGTTAGTAATGGTGGTAGTAATCATTTCTATGTTCCATCTTATAAATCATCGAATTGTTCAAATGGTAAATTACATAGTGGACGTGTATATCGACTAAGTATAGATGATTTAGTAGACAAACCGCCGACCAGCATCACTGCCACAGCAACACCATCATGTACATTGAATACTGCAAATACGCATAATCATGTACGTTACAGCCAGTTGAGCAGTAGTGTACTACCTAACGATGATGATGATGGTGACAATGATGGGAACAGTAATAATAACACTGATCCAGATACAAATAGTAATAGTGTAGCTGAGTCATGTGCAGTAGAAGAAGATAACAGCTGATTAATACGATTAATTGTTGACGCCTAGTCGTTATTTATTATTGATTTATATATTTTACTATCATTATTATTACTGTATTTCCCTCAAAAATGAAAATTCAATTCATTCCTGTTACCTTTCATTTAAAAAAAGACCTTGTTATTGCCCAATTAAAATATGCTTTCTTTCTGTATGTTCCTCTTTCTTATCGTACTCAATTGCACAAGCACAAGTCATTATAAGATCTCAACAAAATTTTAAAAATAATAATAACTGGGCACACTATTGCCTGTTCATACAAATGCGCGTACACAATTATTCAGTTGAATTTTTCAATACATTGTATTGTTAGTATTACAATTACTACAACTACCACTACTACTAATAATAGTAGTGAGAGATGATGACAATGAATTATTTTTATGCTGCTAATTTTTACTTCCCTTCTTTTTTTTATACATTTTACCGGAAACAAAATAAATTATATAAAGGCCTTATCTAGAAAGAAATAAAAACAACCAATTAAGACGTTTCACGTACATGGATTCATTTATTGTTCCTATTATATTTTGAATTTTTTTTCTCGTTTCATTTTATTTGTATGTATGTAGAATTTTTCTGTACAGTGAGAAATGAGCATAACTGTATTTGTATTTGGTCATACTTTCTCTTTCTCCGTAGCATATTCAAAAGATGAGCATAAATTTAGTAATAATTCTACGGAAACAAGCTGTGATGTTGTGTACACTGTTTTATGTTCTTTAATTATATTCACTATTCTATTTTTCAATTTTCCAGTCATTATTTCAGACTATACTGCTGTTTTACTCGTCATCAACATCGCATACATTTATTTGTTTTTTCCTCTTTAATTTAAAATATGTATACATGTTTAGGTAAATCATACCACTTTTTAAAAAAAATTAGATAATACTCTTTGTTCGTATGTTATTTACAATTTGTCAGCTTAATACATTCGTTATTTGTTGATTGTCTTCCGTATTATTCTTTTCTATTTGTTTTTCCATAAGGGTGATGTGTGTACTGGTTGCTTCCATTTATTGTAATTTTTAATATGATTATAATAAATCTTATCACTGCTGCCTCCTGTTGCCACATTGTATCACTACTATTATTACTACTACAAAGAGTAGTAGTAGTACTGTTAAATTGTTTGTTTTTATTTCAGTTTACATCTAATATTTTTATTTTGTCTTTTTTACCTATTTTCTTTTTTTCTAATTGTGAAAAGTTGGAGTCTCTTGCTCGTACCACCGTTAATTGTGCCTTATAAATACGAAACAATGCTGTCCATTAAAAAATGAGCATCCATTGTGTAAAAAAAACTTATTACATATTGTTGAATTCTTGCACTTTTAACTCGTACTAATGCTGATTGTTAATTTTACTGATGATAGCCCTACTACTACTACCACCTAACAATACTAGTCCTTTTTAAAAAAAATATGTTTTTCTTTTTTCAATATTGATCGCGACTATAGCGTGGTTTTCGGAGTTTCTTCTTCGACCTTGTCGTTACCTTTATACTTAAGTCTATATTCTTGATGTGATGGTGGCAAGTAGTGTAAGTCAAAGCAGGAGAAAACAACTGGATGTGAAATAAAGCTTTACAGTAAACAGAACTGACAAAGTGATAGTATTGTAGATTCGTTAAGGTGGTATGTGGGTTTTCTCAATACTTTCAAACGTAAAATTAACGGATTCGCTAGGTATTCGGAATTTGAAAAATTTTCAATTGATTAGTCTCATTTTAATTTTTGGTTAAGCTATTGCCTTAACCGATAGTTAGATATGACAAATCCCGTCTCAGGATGCTGAAATCCAACTGTGAAACAAAGCTGCTTCCTTTAATGATTTTTGGTTGTCCAAATTTATAAAGCAAACCGATTGTATGTGGTTTTCATAGGTAACAGCTGACAATCCTTTTCACCAGAGCGGTAGGTCTGATCGATGGAGGTTTACTATTTTGATTGTAGGAGTTATTACGAGTCCCACTTAGCTAAATGGTGGCTTTTCACACTACATAACTTTCTTTACTGACTACACAAATGGCTGGTCGGGAAATTCCATCATTTATTTCGCCACTTGGAAATTCTTCATGACTCACCATCGCTTATTGAGCTATCTAAGTCGACGAACATTTTAATTATTTTCATCAGCTTTTCACGAAAAATAAATACAGAAACATGTTCTTATCAGTTTCATAGATGAATTTTGCGTTTTTAAGATACAAAAGGCATACTTAACTCAGGAAAGCTGGTCGTTATCTCATTAAGTCCTGTTTGAGTATTCTATGTGCCATCATACTGTAAGATGGTATAAATATTTAAAGCCGAAGCGTTTTCCTTAGTTTAACAGATCTACACTACCAATATACATTCGAAAGTTGCTATTAATCTCAACGTAGAATATCGAGATAAATCAAGCTTACACAAACCTAATATTGGTTTTGCGCTTTGGAGAGTAGCTGTAGGCCATTAGTTTTTTCGAAGTGTTTTGTATAGGAATCCTCAGCTGTAAACAAAAATGCTGGAGAAATCCTTCTCTAACAGAATAATCTAACGCCGTTGTGTCGATTGTCAAGCAATGCAATGTTAGTCTGCAGTAACGTGACTGTTGTAGTGTATGATAAGTTAAAACGTCACCGACATAATCATGGCCTGAAGGAAATGTAGTAATTCATAAATTAGCTGCCTGCTGGGTCCAGTTATTGCACATAACGAGACGACAACTGGTAAAACACACCCGTACCACGATGATTCTTACGTACATTCAGTGATACAATCAATTCGTTAGTTTTGAACAATAACTATTTGAAGGGACTTGTAGTTAGTTTCAAGTTACAGAAATGATGACTAATTTAAAAAATCAAAGCATTCGAACACTTTTTCGACAATACGAATGATGCTCAAATGGAACCAGTAAACTAACATACTTTTTACCTGATATTCACATAATCGATTTCCAACCACTATTCTTAGAACCGTACATTAGACGGAGCTTGCAATAGTGTACGCTATTGAGAAAATTGTCTTTTTTCGAGGAAATACCGACAAAAAGTGTGCAGTTAAAAAATCATTTGTTAACATCACTATGCAATTTATTTTACAATTCAAATCAAAAATAATAAAACAAATGAATTTCTTTTGTACAAAAAGGGTAATTTTCATTTATTTTCCTAAGACCGTAAAAATGGCTTATTTCTAGCAATATGCTTATCTAATTGATCCCAAATTTGTTGGAAATTTGCCTTGTCTAGATGTCTCCGTTGATCCAGATCAATAACACGTACATTCCATTTGGCTACATTCGGATCTAATGGCATATTAGTGTACTTCAAATGAAAACCTTTGACTTTAGAAAACAGGAAAAAACATTACAAGATAAGAGTCAATCAACACTCGGCTGTAAAACTTGTAATAGTAGTAGTAGTGTGGCGAAAGTGACACGTGATTACTTTAGGATTGGATCCCTGATTCAAGATTTTATATGATGGGAGATGTCCGAATTGGTTCGGTAATAGTAAGCAACATGATACTCTAACAACTAATAACGCAAAAAGTATAACACGTTTCTGTAACAAATCACTAGGATACGTCTGTGCACTTAGCGAATAATTTCTAACTCCGATTTCACTACTCTCTTTTTCCTTTTCCACTAACTAGAAACGAAAGTCCAAGCTTCTCTAGAACTATCATTGATAGGAAATCCCAGATTAGTACAAATATGAATTCATTTCATTACATATAGATTTTAATCAATGATGAAATTGATAAACTGAACAGTTACTACATAGAATTAATACAGTTGGATATCAAAGTCAAATAAATGAAAACAATGGTTAACACCAATATATATTTAATTTCTTCCTACTAAAAATTGTATTTATGGATCGTTAACACACTATTGGTCATTGAAGCTGTGTTAGATTCCAGTACTGTTGGAAACTAATGGGCAAGGATATTTTATAATATGATAAAAGTATGAGGAGAGAATGTAAAAGGCATAAATGTAGTGTAAATAGCTTGGTTGTACAGTAAAAAATTGTTTACTTAAGTGAATAATTTGAATATTGAAGAAATATGGGATATTAAGAACTTTCTGATTTGCAACATTTAGTTCACAGTTAACTTGTAGCAAGTATACGGACAGAATAAAACAAAAACTAATGACCCGACGGTTAATTACTATAGTACAAAGAGAGATCGATTCTCAAATAGATTATGTAAGAATCAGTGAACCGCGGAATCGATCTGAAGGGGTTCATGCTGAAATTTTCGATAGTTAGGCAGCCAAGCTTAGTGATCATAGAGTAAAAACTTACATTGAAATAAAGGAAGTTTAATACTTGACACAGTAATCCGCTCATTACCTTTTATTTTAATGATACGACAAATTAAATCAGTATATGAGCTCCTGTAAAAATGAATGAAACTACCAATGCAAATTTAGAAAAATCAACATTAAAATTATTACTTTGAGAAAAAATTACTGCTGGGTCGGAACTGATTGGCCAACCTTTAAATTGCCAAGCTTGACCTTGAACAAAAACAGCTACAACACGATTCCATTCATCTAAGAGTAATTTATTTGGTTGATCAACCACACGATAAGGCACTGTTCGACCATCAGATTTGTGACGCTGAATAAGTATCTCGTTTTCTCGACGCATACCGGATGCTTGTTTCTCTTGGGATTTAATGAACCGTAAATCCTGGGAAAAAAGATTAGACATAAAATTATGATTGTTACCAGGAAATCACCAGTTAATCGAACTTCCCCGATAATAAAAATATTAATTACATGTATACGAGTAAAAAAGAGTTCAGCAGGTACATATACTTCGGTACACCTTTCAGTAACACACAAAACCTCACTGGTAGACGAAACCAAATGCCATCTTCAGTTCAAAGACAGAGAATGCAGTTTGGAATCTTGTAGTGTTTCAGAATTTGTCGAATATTGAGTGTTCGATCGATACATCAAGGCCCAGGGTAGAATCCAGTCTCGTTACCTCAGGTTTGCTATATATGCAAAGTTGTTTAGTCAAAACCATACTTAATAGAGCCAGATTGTGTTCAAGCGGCATAAACAGGAAGAAACAGTATATATCGAAGTTTCTTGCAAAAATGGATATACAAAGAAATTTATCTATATTAAGTATAAAAAACGATTACGTGGAGCCTCGAAGACACAACTTGAAGAAAAAATGTCTTCATCCATTTTGAATTCAAGGGTCAAAAAAAGGATTAAGGAGAGCTAAAGAGAAGCTTCCTTGAAACCCAACTATTCTCAGTGTATAACACCAGATCTTTCTTAGACCAGTCAAAAGTGAATTAATACTCTTCTGAAGTCACTTCCAAAAGTATTCACGAATTTACATGTACTTATGGAAGCAAGTAAGAAGGACATCTAAAAGGTTTACCGAACATGTTTCTCGTAAGTTGTCTGAAAGGAAGTAAAGTATTCACAAGTGCAATCACTAAACATTTAATGGATAGTGGATACAATGTGGATATCACAAAAGCGTTTAAAATAATTAACAAGCAGCAAACACCAATTTTATTCCGCTTAGCGAAGGTCATTGTCATCAAGCACTTTCGACCTGACCATTGTACATAGAAGTGTGGTAGACTTCTCATTGCTATGGCAAAATAATTGTATTATTTTAATATATGTTAATTACATTATCTCTTTACTGTAATTTAGGACTTCAAAATATATTTTAAAAATTCCACTAACACTCACTTATGATGTAAACTTGAAGTTTATATCAAATAGGCACTTTGGTTATCACCCATTAATCAACAGTTTGTTTTTATTCATTATCTCTTTTGTTATCAGTTATAATTTCACCCTTTTCTTTTTATGATTTTATCCTCAACACAAACACTAATTAATCTTAACTATTATGTTGAATATGTTGTTTTCTCCTATCACATATGTCGTTTCGAACAAAACGTCATTGATTACGATACGTAATAGAATGCTTTTATCATAATATTACCAATGTAAACTCAGGGAGTTTGCAACTGGTGAGAAGCCTTAAAATAGAATGAATACCTGGTATTCTGCAAATCTTGTTTTCCTCGCTTTATATGTATATATATAACGGTAAGCGAAACTGGAAATTAAAGTTTGTGATGTTTTGGATACAATTGAAATACAATGCAAATAACAACCCTAAATTAAATGGTTTTAAGCTTGATATCTACTAAATTGACTGTTTTATGAGTTCGTATGTTTTAGTCATTGTGTTGGCTATAGGAAAAATGGAAAAATAAGTAACGTGACAAACACATTATACTAACTTTTAAGTGATGAACTAGTCTTATTTGAAAATTTTGGTGGACTATGTCTATGTTTGTTTCATTAATTTGAAATATGTACTAGAAACAGTAATAATTTATCTGAGTTGTAATGAAAACATTGAAAAATGTGTACTAACCTCTAAAATATCCCTAGCATTATACATTGTAATCAAACTGGTTGGTGCTGCAGGAATAATGATAATCGGGATACGAGATGATCTCATTTTCGTTCTAGCAGAAAGGCGTGCATCAGCGGTGGAACGTAAGCCACGATCTGTAAAAATTGAATGCGCATATATATTAATATATTTGATCAATTTATTTATTTATTATTATTTATTTTAACACATAAGTATAGGTACAGGGAGGCACCAAAATACATATGCGCCACACAAATCTCAATTGATTTGTGTGAGGGCTGTGATACTGCCCGGGTGCCCAAACCGAAGCAGGTGGTTGTCTTAGGGGGCCACACCCCGAGCCTTTGACCTGAACGTCTGACCCACAAGGCAGTGGAGCATCGTGAGGAGATGCAGTCCCATGGTAGCCGGTGACCAACGATTGGTTCATACGCCATTTGTTCCCGCAGGATACTGGAGCCCATGTGCACCATTGGTTTGGGGTCCGGTTAAAGCGCCAGACATTCGCTTTTCGTCCTCTCATTTTTGTAAACAACACCCCCGCCACGAGAAGGCAGTGAGTAGGACTTCCCTGGCAGGGGCTATGTACGCATGGCCATGTGAGAGCATTTCGAGAGGGAGAGCGGATTCTCCCCACTCTCGGCCGTACCAGGGCATTTGGGGGCTTATTTGATCAATGAATACAGTTAGATAACATTGTACAGTTAAACTACTAACGGAAAAAATAGCTGCTTAAAAGCCAAGGTAACTCAACAGCTACAGTTGGTTCCCATGTAAAAAAGATTGTGGAAGTTAATAATTTTAACCACAAAACATCAGAATACAACCATTTCTGCTTGAACTACCTAGTAATAGTGACTTATTCTCATAAACTTTGAATGCATAATATTTGAAGGATATTTATTCAAGTAAAATTTTTTGGTCCCAGGAAAAAGAGAAGACTAATTTTGATTGCAAAATCGTTTGAATCTCACTGAAATTTTATTAAGATCACGAACCAATTTACGTTAGACAACCACTAAAAACCTGGGAGCAATGGACTGTCGTTTCGCCCGAGCATAGGACTCCTCAATTATGTGCATCCTCGGCCCCGCAGCTAAAAATAGTAAACAGAACCTTAGGTTTCCCGTGCGAACACCTAATCTCTAGATCACTGGGGTTAGCGAGAAAGATAAGGTGATTTTAGAATAACGTTGTTTTTCATGATACTTGGAATTCGGATTACCATAAAAAATTCCGATTCTTTATTAGGTGAAACTGAGGTGAAATTAAGCTTAAATTCCACACATCCGAATTGATTGAGAAAAAAAAACGAGATAGTAGATATTATATGAAACTATTTCTCTCCACATATATACTTACATGGATCAGGAGTCGTACTGGGTGTCAAGGGAATGCCAGAACTGATACCGCGAGGGTCTCTAAGTGGTTGTGGTTCATAAGGAATACTCGGAGTTTCATTTCCCATTGATCTAGAAGTAGTTCCTGGAGTACAGACAGTATTTGCACTAGCAACAGAATTGTCTTGATTAGATTTAGGTGTACCAACAGAAACCATTGATGCCAAAGCCTTTCCATGATATGTACCCATAGTATCAATACGAAAACCAGCAGTCTCCTCACGACCACCAGCAAAACGCTCTTGATCATATCTTGAATAATGCATCTGTGAGTGATGTTGAGCAGTGGAGTTGGAGACCGACATATGTTGACCAGTACTTAGTGCCATAGCTGATCCAGTGTTCGTATAATTCGTGGTGCCATTAGGCTTAGAATAGTAAGTCCCAACAGCCAATGGTTGGGGAAAAAGGGTTGGTTGGGCATTAGTAGAAATAAAGCCAAACTTTCCAACAGCTTTTGCATCGGGAGCAGCATGGGAGTCTTCTTTTAACTATAATCATAAGAAATATAAAAGTGAGATGAAACACCTAAAAAATAAAAAGTAATTTACGTGAGTGAAGATAACTAAGGAGTCATTGGATATTGTGTCGCAAAATACTTAAGCTCTATAGGCAGTACCTTAACATGGTTAAGTTTGACAACCTTTACCTTTCTTTTAACCTACTCCTGCACCAGTAAATATCATCCATCGGGAAGGGTGGTGCGTGGGTAGACGTAATACATGTTTCAACCATCTCAGTTGAGGAACATTCATCAACGGATTTACCATCTTTACTTAGTACCCTATGCCTAACGGCAACATTATTCACCCCGTGGTCCCAAAATACACGAACAATGTTTTGAAAACACCTATGAACAAATACTAGTAACCAACTAATATCTTTACCTTTAAGGGCTTTGTTTCACAGCAATTGTGTGAGATAGAGACTATTGATGCTCTGAAGGATACCTCACCTACGTCAAAAGTGACAAACGTTGCCTTTCGCCAACCTATGTTTTCTGAAGTGCGAATGAACCCAACTTGACTAAAAACAACTAGTTCAATCTGCACTAAGCCTGGGTAACTCATAAATGCGTTGTGATCAATACAATCAAAACTGTTCGATCATTTGAGTACTTGGTTTTATATCTAGTCCCAAAACCGACAATTCAGTCATTACGTAAATTTCCAATCAATCAATATATATGATTAAATATACTCTAGAAGGTGAAATACAACTATTATTGCTATAGAACTTAAAACCACCATACTACTAACGGATTTGTTTTAATTCTCTTTTTTAATAGCTTAATTAAAAATTGCTGGTATGCTCGCCACTTTTATCGCATCATATTATTTCTACATCATATTAAACAACGTAAACCAAAACTGAATAAACTGAAAAGTGCAAATACTCCATCGAACGGGAATTTACTACAAACATCGATGCCAAACGTCATACTTTAGTTGAAAGATAACTCACAATTACATTCCGCAAAATCCCCAAAACAATGTTTTCGTAGAATGTTTTGCCTTGACTTTGCAAAACTGAAACACGAGTCCGCCAACGACGCTCACGAGCTACAATTGCGCGTACTGGTGCTTCATCTGCCATAAGTGAAGCTCTGAGCAAAGTGCTACCGGAATATAACTGACCATGAGTACTATCGTCAATACGGATAATGGACTGAGATTCACCTCCGGGTACAATACTATGAAGACCAACCCGAGAATCTCGAGCATCCAAGGATGATAGAGTAGATAAACCGACATCTCCTTCCTGACCAGAATAATTCGTTACAGGAACTTCCAGTGCCTGGTCTGTATCACCTGTCTTGATTCTTTGTTGTTGAATTGCACGAAATTTAGCCCGCCAAGACTGAAATAAGAGAATTATATATATATATATATATATATATATATATATATATATATATATATATATATATATATATATATATATATATATATATATATATATATATATATATATAAACCACAGGAAATACAGTAATTAAAACTTCACAAACATTTTACCTGAATTTTGTCTAATGGGACGGCTTCGGGTAATGTGCTTGATTTAACTTGGTCAGGTTGAATAAAACTAGAGGAACGGTTGCCAAAAGAGCTCTCCAGTTTAGCAGCCAAGTCACGTTTATCACGTGCTATCGCCTCATCATCAAGCACCGCAGATTTCAGTCGAGCTTGTGACTCTCTACCTAACATACTTTCGTCCAGACCTTCAACGTTGTTTGAGAGTCGCATTCGTTTGGAATCAGCATCGATACTGAAACCATCTGGACCCAGTAAATCACTTGCATCTAGAGTTTTAAAAGAGAGCAATATTCCAGTTCAAGTAATAAGTAGTTACACAAACAAACCATAAGCACTCCAACTACATGAATAAGGCTCAAACACTAAGCTAAACGATAACAGGAATAGTTGAAACTTAACAATTATTGAAACTGTAATTCATGATTGATAAAATTAACATTCATCTAGTCATCTATCTTTCTCCCACATCTCGAAAACTTTGTTTGACATTCTTTATTCGGCTCCCACTCGTTTTCTTATTTTTCTTTTACCTTTTACTTATGTTGACAGTTATTCATTTCATACGTCAGTCTTAAACTTGATGTTTTTTGTCAGTGGGAAATCCAGAAAACTAAATCAATACACATCTACTAAACCTAATGATGTTTTCTGATTGTCTCAATTATTCGAAACACAATCTACCGAGGCATCTCAGTAAAACAAAACGATACGAGATCTATAAAGTTAGGATCTTATTATTGAACGATTACGAAGTAAAATGTTTTCATTAAAAGAATCATAGTTATTTGATTACTTTTAACTTATAAGTTGGTTATTAATGTCCTTTCACTCTATATGCGGATATCCGTATTGATAAACCGACAATGCGGAAACTTTCCTTTAATTTAGAACCGATAACTTACTTCAGGTCATCGGAAAATAGTCATAAATGACGTCATATCACTCACTGACGACTACCAACCTAGCGCTGAACAAAAACCATGTTACAATCACTTTTGGTCAAAGTCGGTGAAATATGGCTGGTCTTCCTTGAATACTTTCTTGGACTCCAATTATGTAGTGATTTTTACTTGCTTGCACTTGAGTAGATTAATCAATCGATTAAATTTTATTGCTTAAGTCAAATCAAAATGTGGAAGTTTGTACGATAGACTGAAAAATGACACCATTAAGTGTGCATACAATAAGGAATAAGCCGAAGAAAAATCACTGAAGCAAGAACTACACTCTCGAACTAGTTTAGATTGATAGGATATACATCCCACTGCAGAAACAATGACAATGACAGTTATTAATCTGGGACTACATAAAACTTGACCCACTTCAACATTCTCACGATGCGAATCAAAATTAGTTTTTAAAAAATGGCTAACTTAATGATCGCGAGTAGTGAATACTTAAAGAAATAGAAAAAATATCAGTGTAAGGCAGTCAAACTTATCTTGTGCTTTTATGACCAATAAATTCATCGTCCTAAAAAGATTAATGTAACTGAATTGGCTGTAGCTTCTCTTGCAAACACATCAACAAAACTAGGTTCGAGGAAAGTGTAGATGAACACTGACTGAGCTTGTATGAGGTTATGAAAATGGCAGGTCACATCTCTTGAGGCACCTAAAAACGTCAAGTTTATAAGTACTTTGTTTGAACAGGTCACTTGGAATTCATCGGTCTACTCCGACGACCGGGAGTTTGATGATAAGTGCAGAATTCTACACAAGGAAATAACGTAAAATTTACAGAACGACTGAAGAATTTTTCAACTAATTGGCTCATCCATCAGTTAAATGCATGAGCTACACTCTGTGTGAGAACTAACAATACTACTAGGTGACCCAAAATGACATAATTGAAGTAGGATTAAACCTGAAAATCAATGACTGAGAAGCCTAATGGTCAGAGCACCCTCTCGAGTTGGAAACAGCCCCTTCATCTGGCAACTGTTGAAAGCTATTTTAAATTATCCGAGCCACAGGCAGCAAGAAGTCTGGTGTAAATGAAACGAACCCTGAAGTTGGTGGAACGCCAAATAATAACAGCCAACGACCAAAATCGGTTTGAAACCAATGAAGCTTAACACAGGTTGAAGCCTAGTCAGATTCATAAGTACAGACACCTTTTCCATACATTAAAAAAACAAAAACGAAATTCAAGTATGGAATCCGTTAAATCTAGAGGCAAAGGTAAAAGTACATATAATCCGGTTTCGATATTCTCAAACAAAACGAACCAACAATCACGGGGTATGACAACTCGAACTGATGTACGTACGTACAAGTTCCACGTTGTTACTGAGTGACCAACCACGGGACATTGATTAGTAACATTCAACAGTTATTCGAGAGACAATACAGTTGGCCTGATGCCAGAGACCTCGGCCAGTCTGCCCTGTCGTCCCTGGTCAGGGGAAACTGAACCAACTAACGAGACAAAGGTCTTTAAGGAAATCCAACCCCAAAAGTGTCACAAGTCATCAGACACAAACAATTTACTATCAGACATAAATCCAAGGTACTTCACAAATCTTAGATAGAACGGACATTGTTCTGGTCACAACCTAAAACCCTGCTCCTTTATACGTTTCAGTACGATTGTGGTTCGGTCACATAACTCTTCTAGCGATGTTTCAATTGAGTATATCGCCTAAATAAATGGTTAGACCTGCAGTACCAGTTAATATAGTATCCATTAATTGGTGGAATATCACTGGTGCCGTCTTCACTCCAAAAGGCAGTCGATTATATTGAAATAAACATCGATATGTGTTTATTGTCAGCAATTGACGACATGAAGAGTAGACCTCTACTTGCAGATAGCCTTCAGCTAGATATAGTTTAGTAAAGTAGCTTGCACCGTTTAAGATAGTGAGGTCATCTGGAACTGGTAAATGATAATGATATTGTTTTAGGGCACTATTCAATCCCGTTGGGAAGTTTGCACAGATCCACAGTGTACCAATTGGTTTCTTAATAACCACCATGGGAGCTGCCCAAATTAAGAATGAAACTGGTGATAGAACTTGTTTTTCTAGACATTGGAGCCCTGTGTCCACATCTGGTAATGATGTACAAGGAACTGGTCTTTTTGGCCGGAACACTGGATTCGCATCTTTTTTCAAGTGAAGATTTACTTTCATTTTAGTGCAATGCGGCTCAATCGTTTTCGTCCCCAAATTTGTAACATCGTACACCGTACTGAACCCCAATAACAAGATACAACAATTGGCGGTGGGGATGGCTGTTAAGTATTGCTGATAAGCTTGAACGCCTGGAATAACAGTTCAAACTGATTGAGATATTACCTAATACCCAAATGACTGCTAGGATATGATTTTGACATTTAGTATCGTCGAACAGAAGATTGTGGTCAGGTAGACGCCTTATCTCTTTTAATAAGTAACTACCCTAATATTAACGAAGATTCTGTTGTTGCTGTGATTTCTACTACAGATTACGCAAAGGACAGTTTCATAGATGCAATAAGCCCTTCCCATAACGACTTGCCAAGTAGAAGATTCCGCAAGAAGGGACTCGACGCCCTGAGAAGTGAAAGTAGAAGGGATGGGTATTCCAAAAGAACCACATACGTGGAAGACCCATCAGAATAAAACAGAACAGCTTTAAACACCGTCCTAAAGAGAATTTAACCTTCCTAATAAAATTTGATTGTTCTTGCGACCGCCTTAGCAGTTGGATACAGTAATCGTCTTCCTTATATTTTAACAGACTTATTTAATAGTAGCAATAAATATCAGAGGACACACCTTCGATAACATCAAAACTACTAGGTTTTGTCACGGTCCTCAGATTGTAGAGCACACGAAAAGTTGAATCGCAAAGAACAGGTTTGTTTACGACTAGGCTTTGAATGAATTAAAATGTTCACTACCTGCCAAATGTCATAACAATGCCATACTTATTGCATGCCAACAATCGTTATGTTTCTCAACACTGTGGCCGTATTCTGAGATTGTTGGGAAGGGGTGTTCCTGAGAAGTATATTAACGGCTTGAAAGCCTTGTATACAAACCTCAGGGAGAATGAGGATATACAACCATCTGTCTCTGGAAGTAGCGTTAGGCAATGCTACCCAACCTTACTCTTTCTTCTTAACAGCACCATCGATAACACTCTGGGAACAGTTCTGATGAAATTAGGCAGTGGTGATGTATGTTACCGGGGAGATTTATTTATTTATTTAAACACAAAAATAATGGTACAAGGAGGCACCAAATATATATGCGCGACACAAATCAAATGATTTTTATGAGGGCTAGAATACTTCACGGATGTCAGGGAAAAGACTTCGACTTTCAGTATGCGGATGATATTGTCTTACTGTGTGATGATAATAAAGCTATGAAATCCACAAATGATTACTTGGAAAGCAATGTCCGTAGGTTTGGCATGTACTTTGTACATTCCAAGTGCGAAATACTTGTACAAAGCCACTGTGCAACGCCTACGGAACAAAAAATGTGAGGTGCCTTTCAAAAGTCGATTATTTAGCATTATAGTCAGTTTCATGGTACCGTACTATAGAGACGTGAATATTAGAGATGGTATGATTATTAATTAAACTGATGCAATTCAATTATTACGTGCAGGCTTAATGACTTCCCTTCGAGAAATACTTTATTTACGCGGGAGCTGATGAGATTTGGCAGATGTTTGAACTAATAACCTAATAAAAGAAAGCTGAGCGCTTTAGTCACTAAGCCAGTGATCTACACAGGTGAGTTCAAATACATGACTAAAAACCTTTGCATAATAGTTCGTATGAAGTTAAATTCAAAGTTTTAGGCAAGTCAGTCAGTCGATATAATAATATGAAGTTGATTAAACTGACGTAGTTAAGCCGTTATCCACATCGCAAATTGTTACTGACTTTAGCGTGAAATGTTGACTGAGCTAGCGGTCCAGATTTTATGAAACATGGTAGTTAATTCAGTAGACTGAAGTATGAAACTATCGTTGTTTTTATGTGACTCAAAACATACTACATCAGCTTTTGGGTTGTTTCGTCATACATACATACCTCAAAGATCTTCCAAAACTATCAGCGAACCAAAGGAGTCAAATCCTAACAGTAACAGACGGAAACGGATATATTTTGATACATTTAATTTTCTCGGTTATTCAGGAAAAATAAATCGAACACAACTCACCTCTTCGGATATGCAGGTGATTATCAACATGCTTGGCTACAGCCCGACGTAAAGAGATATCTACTGGTGCAGCTCTATCAATATTTGGTGCAGTATTCGCTTCACCCTTTAGGTACGCTAAAAGATCACGTCGATCTGGAAGTCGTACGACTGGAAGACCAGCACTCTGGAAACAATTATTACCGCCCAAACGGGAAAACTTCTTACTGCTGCTTGTCGCACATACTGAGTATGGGGCAAATCAATATGCTTTAGTAGATGCACAACACAATCCAACGTATAATAATCTTTTGGAGTACCTTCCTTTCCCGACCTGCAACCAATGACTTGAACATAAAACACTCCCAGTTACCCCCATACTAGGAAGTTCGTCTTAGTAGTCTTAGGCCAAGCGAAGTCTCCGAATATGACTTCACTTTGTGTTTCAACAATAGGCTTTCCACTGAGATGATATTCTCGCAAGAGTGACAAGACATCTGCCATTATGCAAACCGTAGCGTAATGTTCGAAACCTGAGGGAGACTATTCAATACTTAATCTAGTTTCAGTCTTCAGTCTTCAGTAATAAGGATAGTAGGTTAGTGAACCTGTGTTAATCCTAACAGGTTGGCTTCCAGTGAAGGTCCAGTTTCTCTTTGAAAATATTCACTGATGGGGCTGATACCACTTGATCGGGCAAAGCGTTCCAATCATTGACTACTCGATGAGAAAAACGGAACCCCACCTTGAGTTTATTAGATCGTGGTTTGTGAACCTTCTTGCTATGACCTCGGAGATTATTAGTGCTGGAGGGAGCAAAAAGATAAGACATATTAACACCCAAATCATAATTAAAGATACGAAATGCCAGTATAAGGTCACCTCGAGTCCTACGATACGACAAGGGGAAAAGGTTTAAGCGTTTTAAACGCTCATCGTAAGGGAGTTTAGAAAGACCCTTCACTAATTTCGTTCCCACACGCTGGACACGCTCAAGTGAGGTAGTATCCTTTATCAGACATGGGCTAGCTGCTTGAATACAGTACTCTAAATGTGGTCTTACATAGGTGGGATATAAAATTCGAAACATTTCCTCGTCAAAGGATTTGAACGCTCGGCGAAGTGACCACAACGCACGAAAACCTTTGACAGCGGCTGCGTTGCAGTGCGCAGTTGTTTTTAAATCATGACTTATTATTACTCCTAAGTCTTTATGTTCTTGAACGCATGGAAGAGGTTTGCCATCAATAGTATAATGGTAATTATTGCCGTGACCGATGTGCATTAGCACACTCTTCCTAGAATTGATTTCTAAACCCCAATCTCGAGCCCATCTAACTAAATCGTCTAAGTCAGATTGAAGATCCAGATGATCAGCCTCACCTCTTATTGCTCTCCATATTTTGACATCATCCGCAAATAATAATGTCGACGACCTAAGCAACAGCGGTAATTCATTTACGTAGAGAAGGAATAGCAGAGGGCCTAATATGGTGCCTTGGGGTACACCACTTTTGACCGGCTTCCAATCGGATAGCGTCCCATTGACCCTCACTCTCTGTCTGCGGTCACGTAAGAAGTTTCCTATCCACTCCTGTACAGTACCTATTATTCCGAAGCTTGTGAGCTTCTGCATAAGACCTGAGTGTGAAACCTTGTCAAATGCTTTGCTAAAATCTATGAATATAACATCGACAGACAGACCTTTATCTAAAGCTGCTGTCCAATCCTCTCTCGCAATAAGTAAATTAGTCAAGCATGAACGCTTATCACGAAATCCATGTTGCTCAGGAGCTAACAGATTGTATGAATCTATGTGGCTTAGCAACCTAACCCGAATTATCTTTTCAAGTAACTTAACGACAATGCTAGTCAGACTGACAGGTCGGTAGTTAGATACGATGTGTCTCTGACCATCCTTAAATATAGGACTGACAATAGCATCTTTCCAATCCCTAGGTAGTTGAGCGAGTGAAAGGGACATGTTAAAGAGTGTCGCGAGCGGTTTTGAAATAATGTCTGCAAGAGATGACAGCAATCGTGGATGTAACCCGTCAGAACCCGGTATCTTACAAGGTTTGAGGTTAATTATCAACGAAAGGACAGTTTCTTCAGTCACCTGTATGGATTCCATGGCTGGTATCGCGGCGTAACTGGGACAAGTATTTGTTACAATAAACGTAGAGTAGACTTCGCTAAAGTAGTTTGAAAATGTCTCAGCTTTTGCTCGATCTGATTCAGCTAGTAAACCTGAATTATCGTGTAACAATATTGGGGGAATACTATCACTACGTTTTATTTGTCGTTTAACATACGAAAACAATCGTTTTGGACAAGTACGGCTATCGTATACCAACTGTCGTTCGTAAGTAATACGGGATTTAGCTATAGTTTTCTTACAAATATTCCGGAGTTTTTGGTACTCACGCTTAAAAGATGCATGACCTGTCAACAAGAATAAGTCCCAGAAGTGTTTCCTACGCTTTAACAGCTTACGGGTTTCCTTATTAATCCATGGAGGGCAGTGCGATAGCTTACGTACTGACCATGGGATAAACGGCGACGTTACGGACTCGAATGTAGCCTTAAACTTAATCCATTCGTCTTCGATCGATCCATCTGCATCAACCGACCAATCAGTAGAGATCGCACAGTCTCTGATTGCCGGAATATTAGCCCGCCAGATATTGGGACGGGGTGGAGCAGATACAAATCGTATACCATGTGTCCTAAACTTAAAGTGAAGTACAACGTGATCACTGTTCACTAGTGGAGGAAGGTGCTGAATATCAAAGACGTCCTCACAGTGGTGGGTGAGGGCGAGGTCCAGCAGTGACGGATCACGTTTCAGATCAATATGTGTCGGTTCAGTGATACATTGGACAAGTGCACACTGAATAACTGTTGATAAAAGTTCGCTATCAAAACCTCCACCTGGAGCTGTAAGCTCTATCCAGTTTATGTTCGGAGCGTTGAAGTCCCCAATGATGAGGCAACATTCTGCCATACTCCAAGAACAGATGTGTCTTAAGATAAAGTCGTCAGCAAGACAACACGGACTACGGTATATTCCGCCTATAGTCACTAACCCATTTCTAGATTTAATATTACAACATGCTACCTCACATGTACCACTAACATGAGCCTCCGATATGATTGATTGTATACGAAAGTGGTCCTTAATGTATAACATTATGCCTCCCCCCTTGCGGCTTAAAACTCTATCACTTCTAATACAGATATAGCCTGCAATGATGGGAGAACATTCTATATCTACGGTGAACCAAGTTTCTGTAATGACAATTATATCGGGACTTAATTCATCCACCATCAGACTTAGCTCGGACGTTTTATTCCTAAGAATACGGGCGTTCGTGTAGCACACACTTAAGGTGTTATGGTAATCGTTCGTTCTACCCATACAGGCCTCGGAAGCATTGGCTTCCAAGACCTGACTACCCGAAAACCCTTGATGGTAAGGTTAGTTTCGCCATTTAACTTGCGAGTTCTTAACTCCGTAAGAGCATTCTTCCACTTGATTCGATCCTCAAGCGGCCAATCTGGTCGGATACGAATATTTGAATCACGAATTTTTTGTGCGTTTTTCAATAATATATCTCGTTCTTCAAAACTCCCTAGAACCAGTTTCAAGATCCTTCTTGGTTGGGTCTCGCCTCCAACCCATTTACCGAGTCGTATCACTTTCGTGATATGTACTCCTGAAACCTCTTCAGGTAGTACGTTTCTTACCACGGATTCTACTAACTTCAGATCATGTGCATGTCTCTTAGCAGGATCGTTGTCTATCGACTCCTCTAGATTCCAAATAATTAAGCTAGGGAGTGGTTTAGTTTCTTTAGGAATCGTGTTAACGGCTATCGATCGTGACCTAACATCCTGTATATTAACTACTGGTATCTTACGATTAGTTTTTATTGTAACAGAGTCATTGGAGTCGAGAGAGTGACTCACAACAGTGTTTGACGAGGCTTTACTTTGGGACTTTGGCGGAGTGGTCTGAGAGTCCACCAAAGACTTATCAAGTAAACAGTCCTTACTTTAAGCTGTTTTTCCTACTCTTCTGCGTTTACACTTCATCCATATTCCGTCAGCCGTAGCATCTACAATGGAACTGCTCGGGACAATAATTGTTTTATCTGGATCACCAGTTGCTGCTGTAGCAACATGGCCACCAATATCTAATGAGGTGTCACTCATTGATTGTTTCGAGGTAAAAATTTTGATTTCGGGTTGCGCAGTTAGATGTCTGACTCGCGCCGTGACAGCACTTACGACACTAACGCGATCTTCGCTATCGGCACCAATATTGTCAGTGCAGCCCTCGTCGACCTTCTTATTAGCCAACACCAGGAGGCTAATGGCTTCCTGGATGAGTGTTGTTTTGTTTGAGCAACAAAAACTACAAAGCCAATGAGAATTGGGCTTCGAGCACCTTTTATATGCAGCGGGGCTTAGTCGGGTGCACATCTTGTGGAACCACTTCTTACACTCATCACATTGCATCCCTTCCTCCACGGGGAATAAGCAACATGGTTGTCCACATTTATGAGCCGATTTGGCCATCTTGAAAACCAAATACAAAGGTGATACAAAGAGGATATGTAAAAAAATGCTAAAACCTTGACTAAATTATCAAATAAAAGTCGACCAAGTATGCTTTGGTGCAATAATTACACAAAGCAGAATCAAAACAATCAATACAATATCACTTTAACTGGAGTAGATTCAATTAAAGTGTAAACAGTAGTTTTGATGCGTAATTTACGATCAAAACAGTTAATTAACTCAACGAGAAACAATGCCACTGTCCTTTTAGATAGCGCGCCGAACCAAGTATTTCAGCTGGAGTATTATCAAATCCAAGATTGAAATTTCACATGTCTATAGTAGTAGACAGTAAGATTCAAACGTTCGTGAGTCCATATGCTTCGTTCATTATACTGTTTGATTAACTTGACGTTAATAGGCATAGTATAGTAAGGAGACTATATTTCCTAAATTAATTTGGAAACCGGTCTTTTTTCCACCTTGCAAGTGTGCATGTCCTATTGGTCAAAAGTATCGCTGATAGCCGTCTTGTCCAAGAAAGTGTTACCGCTAGACCCATTAAGGGTAAAGTACGTAGTTGGAGTTCTTAAGGAGGTATCAATCCAGTTCACGCGGCTCGCACTCATATATGATTTTCCCTAAGTTACTCATACATGAGAAAAAACAAAAGGTGTAGAAATACGTCTAGTCAGAACGAGTAGTGGGTTTCGAGACCCAAGATGCTTCTGTTGTTTTATGTGCGCTATTGTCCATTCTTGTCCTTAAACAAATATAAGCTGCCCCTAAATTTTGCGAATTCATGGTGGAAACACAGCGGTTATAATTTTTAGCAGCAATCAGTGATCACCATAGTAGCCACAACAATTATAAGCTAATCTAACTTATTAACACTGTAGCCTCTAACATATTATATGACTGACAAAGTCAAATATTTATCAGTCATATCCTGGTTTTACATT